CCCCCCCCTTGTGTTTTCCTTCCGGAGCCCGGGCCCAGGCCCTGTGGGCAGCAGGCCGGGCCCTGTGAGCGCTGCCAGCCTCGCTCTGCTGCCCTAAAGGGTCTCCTGGCCTCGTCCCCACCCCTGCCGAGGCCAGGATTGACAGGTTGACAAGGACGACATGGCCGTGGGGAGCAGGCCACCTGTTCCCGAAGGGGCAGGGCCTAGCAAAGCCCAGGCTCGGTCCCTCCCTCCCAGCCCAGGCCTTCCCGGCTGACCCTCAGATGCCCAGGTGGGCGAGGGAGAGGCCCTAGATTGCCATCCTCTGGCCTCAGAGCCGAAGGCCACAGCCCCTGGACCATCCTTTCCTGGGGCTGAGAAGGGGGAGATACCAGGGACCCCAAACCTGGCATCAGGCCCCGGGGCCCATCTTGTCCCCCATAAGGCCCAGGCAGTGGGGAGGGGCCACAAAGTGGCATCCTGGCTCGGGTCACAGGGACCGGACCCAGACCTCTGACCCCAGGCCGGGGGCCCTCCCTGGGGCTCTCATCAACTGCCATTGGCCAGCAGCTTGGGGTGGGCAGGGCTGACTGAGGAGGGGACGCTGCTCCACTGGAGAGGCTCTGGAGGGAAGAGGGGGCATCTGTCCTTTGAAGCTGGCCTGGAGGGTGGGGTTCCCTGCAGGGTTCCTCGGTCTCCCTCTCTCTCCTCATTCACAGCCAGCACGCTGTGCAACCCATGGGACAGAGACCCAGCTATGCTGGGCAGGGGGGGGCACACAGGTGGGCAGACCTGCTGCGTCCTGCGATACCGGGCGAGGTGAGGGAGCCCAGCAGCTGTGCCCGGCGCCGGGGCTCCTGGCTTGCATTAGACCCCGGAACCTGGGACTGGGTTGGGGTCTTGCAGGGCTAGAACTCAGCACAGCCTCCTGGAACTGGGGAGAGGCCCTGCCCTCTTCTGCCTCTGGCCCCAGTGAGTTTTCTCCCAGCTGCCTGCCAAGCCTTTCCAGATCATTCCTTCCTGGCTGTATGGAGTTACCCTGGGGGTTTCTGCCCTGTGTTTAGGGCCCAAAGGGCTAAGAAAAGTCAGTCGTATGGCCTCTTGTGGGGGTGGCCCAGGGTTTGGGGGATCCTGGCCCCCTCATCTCTAGCAAAATCCTGCCCCTCTGGCCCCCGATTCCTTAGCTGTAGAGTGGTTTTCGCCCTCCCCGCTAGGGGCATGTGTTGGGAAGATGGCTTTGAAGCACCTGCCCTGGACTTGGTGTAGTGCAGGGACCCAGAGAGAGTGCCCCAGGGGGTCCCCAGAGTGCCCCCAGGCAGGACAAGAGGCGTCTGTGTCCCGTTCCGGCACCCCAGGCTGGGCTACGTGGCACCCCGTGAGCTCAGACCCCAGGTCTTGGTCCTGCCTTCTCCCAGACCCCTGTGCCTGGAGCTAGGCCTGGTCCCTAAGGGCCTGTGCTGCTGCTGGTGGGTGTGTGGCCCTCTAGGCTCCCTTCTGCGGGCAAGTCTCCAGCTGGACTCTCGCTACCTTCTCCCTCTGTCCAGCTTGCCGCCTGCTCTGCCACCGTCAGGTACAGAACAAGCTGTCACTCCTGTTGTCAAGGGGGGGGGTGACAGGATCCCTCCAAGGGTAGAAGACCCTGGGGCTCAGGCACCAACTCACCCAGGGACCAGCAGGGGGAAGGAGTGGAGAGCTGGGCTCTCGCTGTCACCAGAAGCACCCTCCCTCTCCCAAGAGTCTGGGCACCCCCTAGAGCAGAGCCTAGGACTGAGTCCACTCCTGCCAGCCCCATCCCTGGCAAGGACCGGTGTGACTCTGAGGTGTGCGTCAGGTGTGAGCCACGCTCAGGCTTGCCCATCCCTGTTCAGTCCCACTGCACCTCCCTGCCTGCTCTTCTCATGATGTGGCCGCGTCCCAGCCCTCTCCGCGTATGCCCGCCACCCCGGGTGTGCACTCCGGATCTCAAGTGAGCCTTCTCCTTCCCCGGCCCCTCCAGCCAGGTCTTTTGCCTGGACTCAGGGCAGCCCCTTCTCTGAGCCCCAGCTCCTCCTCAGTCCTGTCCTGGGAGATGGGAGCCTGCAGGGCTCTGAGGCTTGTCCCCAGCTGTTCCCCACGGAGTCCCTCGACTGTAACTTCACCAAGTCATGATGGCCAGGTACACGTGCTGAGCCTCTGTGGTTTAGCACCTGGGGTAGGATGATTTCCCCCCCCCACTCCCAGAAGGCCCCCCAGGCCCTCCCCAGTACCTCCCCACACCCACCAGAGCTCCCCTGATCCCCACTTAGTCATACTTGGTTCCCGCGGTCCCTGTGGACCGAAGCCTGCAAGGACATCCCAACCCCCGCTGCTCCTGGTCAGAAGGGCCAGCTGGGTGTGGAGGGGCCTGTGGGCGTGGCCCAGGCGGCCGCGGGGGATGCAGCTGGTCCTTGGGGGGCTCCTTTGCTCCAGAGGTCCTCTCTTTGGACCGGTTTGCATTGGTGGGTGTCTGGGCTGCTCCAGCCTGACCCCGGAGCAAAGCTGCTGTGGACATTCCCACGCAGGTGCGTGCCGGATGGGCCAGAGCTTGAGAATACTCCGCCATCCTCCGCAGCCTCCGCCCCGCGGGGCCCCCCGGGCTCTTGGTGCTCCTCTGACCACAGCCCTGATTCCCCCCTGCGTGTGGGCGTCCGCTTTGGGGGTGTCTGTGTCTCTCTTCTTATTGGCTTCCCGGAACTCTTCTTGCCCTTGCTCCAAATGGTCCTGGGAAGGACAGAACTTAGTCAGGAAGGGCCTCGAAGCTTGCTGGCTGCCCCTGCTCCTTCACTCGGGGCTGGAAGCGTGTGCGTCTTCTCTCAGGGATCCTCTGATGTCAGGCGGCTCTCCGCCGTGTCCACTTGAACTTGGTTGCGGTGCTTTGAAGCTGAGCTTTGTATTTCCCTCCCGCCCCGTCCTTCATTGGACCCCTGCCCAGGCCAGGCTCTGTCCTCCGCCTGGAAGTGGAGGGGGGGGGGCAGCCGGGACGGCTCTGGACGCTGTCGGGGCGTGCGTGCCATTCCCGAAGCCAGACCCTTCTGCCCCTCCCCAGCTCCTTTGTGTTGTGCGGCACCAGGCCCCCCCGGGCCAAGCCTGGCTGCTCCTCCTCTCCCACACCACCCCCTCCCTGTCCTCAGCCCTGAGTTGCTGCTGCTGCTTTATTTGCTCCTTGATCACGTATTCAGCGCGTGTTTATTTATTTATCGCCACTGTTTACCAGAGGGCCTTGTAGGCACAGGGGTACAGCAAAACCATCTGGCTAGAGAGGACAGAAGCATTTCTAAAATAAGTAAGCATCACAGTGACAAGTAGTGACAGGGGACAGAAACAAGGAGGGTAGTGTGTGTGGGTCTGGTGGGGGGGGGGGGAAGGGGGCATTCTGCACAGCCAGCTAGAGGAGAAGAAAGGGAGGCTGGAGGCTGGCGCTCCAGTGCAGAGGACCCTGTAAGAACCACAGAGGAGCCAGGCACAGTGTCTCCGGCTTTAATCCTAGCCACTTACGGAGGCAGAGATTAGGAGGCTCACAGTTCAAAGCCAACCCCAGCATAAAGTTCAGGAGATCTCCCCGCCCGCCCCCCCAGCCATCTCAGTTTATAAAATGTTGGCTGTGATGGCAAGTCCTGTCATCCCAGCTATACAGGAAGTATAAATAGGACGATCAAGGTCCAGGGCAGCCTGGCCATAAACAGGAGGCCCTATTTAAAGCCAAAAGCGAAACAACAATGAAAAGAACCTCAGATGCTTGAGTTCCTGAAGGAAAAGATGAAGTCCCACAGCCTGAAATGTGGAGCTGGGACAAGTCTCTTCCTCAAGCCTGTCCGCCCCATTTCCAACCTGATGCTTGTAGAGGAAACCTGGTGGGCTAGCAACTCTCACTAAAGTATTACTGACTACCTCATTTGAGCTGCTCCCTTTGGAGGTCAGGATGCTGTAAAGGGATCTCCTATATGAACTGTTTTCTCTGCCCTTTACCCCGCCCCTCAGCCTAGCAGAGCTTCTGCTCCTCTGAAAAGCCTTCCTAAGGGAGGTTGAATGGCGGCTACCTAATGGAAGACATAGGAGAACTTGGTGTGATTCTCAGGTCTGCCGCTGACCAGCTCCGTGGTCTGGGGGGAACTGTGGACCCTCAGATCCCATGCCTGGGTGACGGAGCTCTACCTTAGAAGGCTGTGCTGAGCACTTAGCGTGTGTGTGAACCTCGCACGTGGCCAGTGGAGTGCAATGGCGCTGGCACTTGCTGCTCGCTACTCGCCGGTCTTGGAGGTTTCCTCTGCCCCGCAAAGGCCCTGTCTCCCCACGCAAGGGGCAGGTGCCATTTTCCCCATTGCAGGCACAGGGCCATCCCGGCTATGCCAGCCACAGACAAGATGCAGCCTTGTGGGCTGAGGACCCCGGTGGCCCGGGCTCACCAGCCACGCCCCACTGGGCACCCAGCGCTCTGGGGTCCCGATGGGGCCACCCTGAGCATCCCTCCTGAGCCTTTGCAGGCAGGCAGTCCCCTGGAGGTGCAGGTTTTGGGGATCTGTGAGGTTGTGGGGTGTAGGGGGCTAGGACAGGCCCATACCCCACACCTGCGGGCACCAGCGCAGAGCAGCGGCATGCCCTTCCTGAGTGTGGGGGCTCTGTGCCGGGGTGTCTGGCGGGAGAGGGGAGGAGCAAGGGAGGGGCGTGGCGGTGATGTTTGGGGTGGCCATCAGGGAGGGGATCATGCTGGCCACACAGCACGTCAGCTGTCCAGCGCGAGGCCGCAGGACCCCGTGCAGACCAGGAGGCGGGGTTGGGACGGGAAAGGACGGTGGCCTGTGGTGAGGCTGCGTGGGACCGCAGGAGCCAAGGGCCAAGAGGGAACAACCAAGACCCCCCAGCATTGCGCTTTGGGGGTCACTGTGAATCTGGAGCAGGCTGCCCCGGGGCCCCCAGGTCAAGCCTTTTATCAAGGGCATCTTCCTCTATGTGCACATGGGGAAACTGAGGCTCCGAGGGCTAGCTGTTGCTCCATACCTCAGCTGCCCGCCCTCCCCCTGGGCAGCTGGCCTGGACCGGCCTCCCCGCCGTGCAGCCCACGGGGCTTCCTCGAGGCCTCTCAGGAAATGGCTACGAGAAGGAAAGGGTGGGGCTCCCAGGGCCCTAGACCCAGCTTCTAGAAGGCAGTCACAGTGGTCACGTGTGTCCCTTTGGGCTTTAGTGAATAGCTTGATGAACTGAGGTCCCGAGACGCAGCCTCGTCCCTTGGCCGGGTGCCTTCCTCCACCTACTGGCCAATGCTGAAATTGACCACCTTAACTGTGTCTCCTTAACACGAGGTCTCACTTGAGAGGCTGTCTTGAATGTGTGCACGCATATGTGCACATGTGCGTGTGTGCACATGCACACGCATGTGCAAGCAGCATGTCAGTGCACACAGCTCTGGGGTGGGTGGGGCTAAAGCAGAGTAGGACCCTGCCAGGGACCTGGGGATTCCAGAGAGGCTGCATCTGGCTCAGGGCAGGGCAGGACGCTGCTGGTGCCCCACAGCCCTGGTTAACCTTCCCATCCCCAGGATTTGAGCACGCAAACCTCCTGCAGATCCAGGTAATCAGTGTTTCCACAGGTGTTTGTGGTGCTGAGCAGCCGATGGGGGGGGCAGGTTAGTAATGCCAGCGCAGGCCCCTCCCAAGCCAGCCGGCCACTAGGACAGCCCTGCGCAGAAGCATGCTGCCAGCCCCGCTCTGGGGAGCTCTGGGGTCCTGTGTCCCCAGGATCGGACGCTGCAGCCCATGTGGAGGCCCTTCTGCTTCCAACCGTCCATGCCTGTCCCGCCCATCCTTGCCTATCCAGCATCCACACTGCATGGTGGTGTCCTGGCACTAGCAGGTGTGGCTGGGGTTCTAGAGTCCCCCTCCTCGCCCCCCCCTGCCCCCGGAGCAGAGGAGGCAGGGGCTGGATGCCCATGACAGCCGGGAGTTCAGGGAAGACCACACTCACCTGAGGGACCCCCCACGCCCCTCCCCCCACGCCCCTCCCCCCCCCAGCCTTCAGCCTCTCCCTTGTTACCTGGCTGGGCACTGGGTGCAGGACCTCAGGGAGGAGTAGCGGACTCATAGCCCCTGCACAGCTCCTGACCCCATGGAAGGTCGGAGGCCTCCCTGGAGAGGGTGACGTAGCCAAAGAGCCGAGAAGGCAGCAGCCTTCCAGTCCCCCACCCCATGAGGTCCGTCCCGTCGGCAGCCATCGAGTAGACCTGGGTGTGATTCTGCGGGACAGGTGGCCCACAATGAGAGCTGGGGACTAGTGGGGTGAGAGCCCTCCAGCCAGCCAGGGAACCGAGACGGGCTTCCCAAAGGGGGGGCGTCTGAGCCACCAGGCCTCAGGCAGGAACGGCAGACTGGGCATGTGCAGCAGGGAGGCTAAGCCGAGGGGACAGCGCGGATGACATCTGCTGTTGGCCACACTTGGAACTCAGAAAAGAATGAGTGAGATAGACGTGTCTCAGATGGGGGGGGGGGGCGGGTCCTGCCGGGCCAGGCCTCGGTCAGATGTGGGGCCGCTGGGTGTCAAGTGGGGCTGGGTCCCTTTCTTCTCGCCTGGGCACCCCAGAGCAGGGCAGAGTGCGGGCAGGGCCCCACAGCTCCTGCTTCTCAGCTGGGCCATGGCCCTGCCTTCCTCCTGCTGCTAGGAGGGCAGAAAGCCACCGGCAGGTGCCAGCCCAGGCCTGTGCGACTGTTACTACGACCCTACCCCCAAGGACCTGTGCTGGTGCCCAGCACTGCTGTGGCTGGTCCCCGAGCCAGGCCTTCCCCCGGGGAAGAAGATAGACATTGCTAACAGATGAACCCCGGCCACTCCCTCGGACCCGTGCCCAGGTGGAAGGGTACGCCAGGGTAGGAGGTGAGCGCCGCGGCAGGTGCCCCGCCCCCACCAGGCCGGCCAGGCCTTCCCTGGTGAGGACATCCACCCAGAGGCTGGCCCAGGCCAAGCCTCTCTGCATGCTTCTACCTGCAGAAGGAGAAAGAGGGTGCCATGCCCCAGCTGGGGGGTGACTGTGGCCCCAGGCTTGTGGCTCTGCCAGATGAGTCCTCATGGGTTCATCCCTGCAGACCACTGGGCAGCACGGCCCCCAGCCACCCTGGAGCCCTTGCCTGGGCCCATTGCACCATGGGAAATGGGCCTCCAGCTCGCAGCCCAGGCCGGAGACCTCTCCTGACCTCTGCTGTCCCTCAGCAATGCAAACAGATTTTTTTTGCCCCTGGCCCAGTGGGGGAGGGGGCAGGGGCAGTTGTGCCAAAATTTGATCCTTAGTCATTTTTTCCCCTGATTTCTTATCTGTAGAAAATATGACAAATCCAGAGACATGTCTTCAGTTACGGGCATTCCACCAGCCAGGCACCACACACGGCCGCTTCCTTCCCCCTCCGGGCCATGAGGGTACTCTTTTTAAACGGGATTACCACACGCGTGCTCAGCACGCGCATCTGCTGCATCTTTGAAAGCCCGGTTTCTGGGCCCATCCCAGAGCTTTTGTTGGTGGCCTCGGCCCCTCCCGGCAGGGACACAATCTCCCAATGTGGCCCAGGCCAGCAAGGCTGCACACATGTCCCCACAGACCCATCAGCGGAGGGCGGGCCGCATGGCACACGCCCAGCTCTGGGGGGGGGGAGGGGCTCCCGTTCCTCCAGCAGAGCAGTGCCACAGCAAGGCTGGGCCAGTCCTGTGTCCATTCTTATACTTGGCCACCGGAAAAGGTGGCTGAGCGGGGTCCCCGGTAGGACCACAGCTCTGTGCACACACGTTAGCCATCACAGAAGGCCAGTGGCCTTACATTGCTCAGGCCAGATGGGAACCCAGCCCACCACAGCCCAGTTGGTGAGTCTGCTTCCACCACGTGGCCTCCGGGCAGGGCTGTGGGCATCCATTCCTTCTGGAAATCCAGGAGCAAATGGCCTGTGGTAGAGAAGGGAAGGGGGGGGGGGGGGGGGGGGACCTGCGAGGTCCTGCCGTCAAAGCAGCATCCAATCTGTGAGTAGGGACAGCTGGACCAGGGTGTTGGGGAGGAATGCGGCCTCATGTGGAATGCCTTGTGCAAAGTGGGGTTCAGAAGGGGGGCAGGGCTGGGTACCCTGGCCTGGTGAGCAGAGGGTGCAGCCTCAGAAGAGACAGGCCCTGGGCAGCCAGAGGAGGTGCCGGGCAGGTGGATGGACCCCTCACCTCTTCCTGAAGGCCTCCCTTGTATCCTCTGACCAGAACTCCTATAGGAAACAACTAACTCCCGGGTAGCTGCTGGCTCCCATCGGCACTGCCTGCCCAAGGAGCCTTGGGTGCTCTGGGCAGTGGGGGCTGTCAGGCAGGCTACACGGTAGCTGAGGGGGCGAGGGCAGCTTGGGGAGCCTGCCTTGGGGGAGCAGCGCGTAGGTAAGGCTGGGCCAGGCATCCCAGGAGCTCCCGACAGCGCAGCCTATGGAGGCACTGTAGGGCGGCTGGCCTTGGGCTTCTCTGTTGCCCTTCCCTGAGGTTCTCGAAAACAGCAAATCTTTTATTATTTATTTATTTTACTTTGGTCGTGGGGCCTGAACTCTGGGCCTGGGCGCTGTCCCTCAGCTCTCCAGCTCAAGGCGAGCGCTCTACCGCTTGAGCCACAGTGCCACTTCTGGCTTTTTCTGCTTATGTGGTGCTGAGGAATGGAGCCCAGGGCCTCATGCATGTGAGGCAAGCTCTCTGCCACTGAGCCACCTTCCCAGCCCTTTTACTTTAAAAAATATAGTCTTGGGCAGCAATCCAGGGATGCTCAGTGGAGGTTTGCTGGGTGCGTGGGGGGGTCACCCATGGGGTTTGCTCACGGGCTGGGAATGGGGACCCCTCTGGTGGGGGACGGGGACACCTGCCCCCCCTAAGGCCTGGGTCCCCACTCCTGGTTGGGAGCCACCTCCAGAGTCCTACAACAAACCCACTAGGAAGTCCCATGGTGCTTGCCCGCGTGCCTAGGGCCCTGACATTACCCCACGCCACCGCAGGGGCCCAGAAAGCAAGGATGGAGGATCCAGTGTGGCGGGGAGCCCCGGGGACGGGCTGGGCAGGTGGGGGCTCGGCTGTGTGTCGGCAGTGGGGGCCCCCGGCCTTGGCCTCGCTGCTCCCCTTCTCCCAGGCGACACAGGCTCGGGGCCCGCATGGCTAATGGAGGAACGGAGGCCTGGCGGGGGGCACGGCGCTGCCAGCCCCGGGGTCACTGTGGCATGCAGGGGTGAGGGCGAGGAGGGAGGCCCCGGGCCCACGTGACCAGAGGTCGTGGGTCACTGCCTCTCAAGGGGCCACAGGGATTTCCCTGTGCGGGGGAGAGGGGGCCGCCGCTGGGAGGAGGGGTGCGCGTGCGCGCGTGTGCGCTCGGCCGGGTGCCCCGTGGCCCCCCACGGGCCTCAGTTTCCCCCCGCTGAGCACCGCGGCCCGGCCTGCCGCCGCCGCCGCGTGTCGTTGCAGCGCCCTGCAGGAGCAGAAGGGCGAGCTGCGCAAGCGGCTGTCCTACACCACGCACAAGCTGGAGAAGCTGGAGACCGAGTTCGACTCCACGCGCCACTACCTGGAGATTGAGCTGCGGCGGGCGCAGGAGGAGCTGGAGAAGGTCACGGAGAAGCTGCGCAGGTGCGGGAGGCGGGCCCCTGCGGTGGCGTGGGGTAATGTCAGGGCCCTAGGCACGCGGGCAAGCCGGGCGGGGCGGGGCCGGGGCCCAGGGATGGCTACACCCAGAGCCAAAGTCAGACGTGAGGCCCAGAGCCCCGGGCGTGGACGGCTGCCAGGGAGGGGTTCGTCCCATGTCCCCCTCCAGCCCCAGCCCTCTGCCCTGCACATTTAGGCTTTCATTTGCGGTGTGGCAGCGCACAACGAGGCCACTTATAGGACCCCAGCTGGTCTACCAGGGTCCTTCACACACACTGTCCTGGGCCCTGCTAGGGAGAAGGGGGCCCCAACTCCGCGACAAACCCCAGTTTAGGAGCCACGTCCCTTGAGTATTGAGTGGATCAGAGTCTCTTCAAAACCAAATTTTTCTATCTTTTTTTCTGCCCCCTCGGAAAATGTCTTACATGCTGTCTGTCTCTCGCAGAAACGCTGTGGGTTTAGTTTGCTTTAAATATTTAGGGTGCCAGCTGGCACCGCTGCCCTGAGGGAAGATCTGCTGGGAGGGATGCTCATCCCCCCACTCCCAAGTGGCCCCAATCTGCTGGTTTGGGGATGTCACCACTGAACTGTGTGGAACCCAGCCTGAGCCACAGATGGATCCATAGTGTATGTAGCACTCGTCCATCATCTCCTTGGTGCTGTGCAATTGAGCTATAAACCACACCGCATGGCTTGTAGGCCTGTGTGGGAAATGCAAGGGAATTTGTTGTGACAAATTGTGGACCACAAGCCTCCCCTCTCTGAAGTGTTCCTTCCAGGAAGCCCTGCTGTGGGCGAGGAAGAGCGAGCAGTGTAGCCCTGGGCGCAGTGAAGTTAGCTTTAAGCAGAACCTCCTGCTCGGGGCAGAGGAGCACACGTGGCTGCTTTGCTGGGGGTGAGGGCGGATGGTGCCAACTCAGGAGGGCATGGGAGTTGTGGGAAGGTCCAGCCGTGCACTGTGTGACCCCAGGGCCTCCTGTGGCAGGATTCAGAGCAACTACATGGCGCTGCAGAGGATCAACCAGGAGCTGGAGGACAAGCTGTACCGCATGGTGAGGCCACCCCCCACCCAGCCTGCCACCCCGAGATGCCCAGCCTGCCACCCCGAGATGCCCATCCTGCCACCCCGAGATGCCCAGCCCTATCTCTTGCCATTAGCTAGGATGGTCCACTGAACGTGAAGTGCTCTGAGGATAGGAGGACACGGGGTCCGGGGTGGGTGAGCAGAGGGGACAAGCACCCCAGCCTGCAGACAGAGGATCTGCCCGAGGGTGGGAACTGTGAACCAGAGGCCTGGATCTGAGAGGACGGGTCCTGAAGTCAGCCCTGGTGAGCCCAGGGCCTCCTCCAGCCCAAACCCCACCTCACAACACCTCAAAGAACTGGGTGCAGCATGTCTCTGTGGAGACCTGGCAAGAGCTGAGCTTGCGGTTGCCTGCTTGGGTTTAGGCGATTGACTCTGCAGCCACAGCAGGGAAGGGCGGGTGCAGGGTGCGAGAATCTCCTTTGGTGCGGATGAGGAGGGTCCCTCTCTTTCCAGTTAGTTAGGTGACAGGCTTGTTTTGTTTTTGAAGACCAGAAGTGAGTGGTTAGTCCCTGCCTGTCATTGAGGTAAGGTCAGAGAGAGGCTGCAGGCAGGCCTGAGGACTGGGCCTGGGACTTTTTTTATTTCCCAGCCTCAATTTCCCAATCTATCAGGTGAGATACACCACTCCAGACTCCTGAAGCAGGCCTCACGAGCCCTGTGTTAGCAGGGAGAACTTCGGTTGGGAGGAGGGGCAGTGCTCGGCCCAGTCAGTAGTGGGATTGGATTTGAACCCAGAGTAGTCTGTATCTCCTTCTCCTGCACCCTGCGCTATTAGGCACACAGAGGCCTAATCTAACCACTGGGCTTGAGTACCAGGCTTTAGGCTGGCCTCCTAGGAGCTGACCACTACCACTCCTGCTGTCCCCACTGCCCAGGGCCAGCACTATGAGGAAGAGAAGCGTGCGCTGAGCCACGAGATTGTCGCTCTCAACAGCCACCTGCTGGAGGCCAAGGTGACCATCGACAAGCTGTCGGAGGACAACGTGAGTGCTGCGCGCATTTGCCCCGAGTGAGGCCTCGGACCTCCATGGGGGTTTCAGGACATGCGGGCAGGCAGGGCCGTCTGATCAGTACAGATAGTTGGGCAGAATGCCCAGGGCGGCTGGAGAAGGACAGACGGGCTTCCTCCTTGAAGCCATTCTGCCCAGGGTCTCTCAGGAAGACCCTCTGCAGGAAAGACAGAGTTGAACACAGGCCAGGCTATGCCACGCGAGGCCGCTGCCTGGCCCCAGGCCAGGGATCTGGCCACTCAGTCTTTGGCCAGCCCACCATGCATTCACCAATGGACAGCTGCACCTTGCCAGAGCCTGCTCAGAGATGAGGGACACACACACACACACACACACACAGACTTGCACACATGGTGTTTGCATCAGACAGCCACACAGACTGGCGAGTGTTAGGAGTTTTGAGCGCCCCGAGGAAAAACCAGCTAGGAGCAGCCTCAGGACCTGGTGGGCTGTAGGGCCTCACTAGAAGTCTCCAGAAGAGGTGGTCCTGGCCAGGAACAGAAGGAAATGAGGAGCCAGTCATGCAGACACGGGCGGGGGGCGGGGGGACTGCGAAGGGGGGCCCGGCATAGCATTCCTTCCAGGCTGACGTCAGCAAGGTTCTCCCTCCGAGAAGAGCAAAGGCAGGGAAGGCTCTGGGTCTGGAGGCTCCTATCAGGAATCTAGGCTTTACTCTGAGAAAAACGGGGAGCCACTGAGTGTTCTGCACAGAGTGTTACTTCCCGGCAGAGGACAGGTATGGGACAGTTACAGGTGTGGCAAGGCCAGGGTTGGGTTTGGGGAATAAAGCACCCCGCTCATCCTAGGGGTGAGCTCATGAAGGTGTAGGTACTCCAGTGAGGCATCAGGGGTTGGGGTGAGGCTGGGACCCCAGAGTCCATCCACAGCGCAGGCCAGGGTGGGAGGCAGGTGGAGGAGGCAGTGGAGCATGCAGGCAGCCCGACCTGAGCTCCGGATGCTGCTCCTGGGTAAGCCGGGGCTGTGGGAGCAGCCTGGACAGGCATCAGGTGGGCCACGGGGGTATGCCAGGCAGACCCCCACCGTCTGTCCCAGCCTGGCCGTGGACTCCGGAGGCGGGGAGGCAGGAGCGGAGGCCCAGCCTAGGCACATGCAACAGAGATTTCCGAAGGCACAAGTGACCCCCGAGTCCTACTGTTTGCATCTGTTTTTAGCTCACGAGACTGAGCTAGTGCCTGCCTGCACCCGGGGTCACACACCTGTCCCAACCCTAGCCTGGCCCTGCGGGAGACGGGTGGCAGAGGTGGCGTGCGTCCCTGTCCTCAGCGGTGCCTGGCATTGCCACCAGCTACCTTTGCAGGGACTTTCAGGCCGGGGGCCAGCAGCCAAGACCTGGTGGATAAGCTGGGGGCCTCCAGGGGTCCACCCTGGGTAGAGCGGCCCTGCTGCCCACCCGGCCTCCTCCACACACCAGCACAGACAGGTTCTCTGTGGTCTGACCATGGAGCACAGAGAGGGATGGGCCTGGAGACGGCCCTCATCTCACCGACTGCACAGCCCTCGGCACGTCCCACTGGCCCCTTGGTGCTGGCCAGGGCCGAGCTGTGCCCAATGCCGTCTCTTGTCTTCTAGGAGCTCTATAGGAAGGACTGCAATCTAGCGGCCCAGCTGCTGCAGTGCAGCCAGACCTACGGCAGGGTCCATAAGGTGTCAGAGGTAACGTGACCCCGCCCCACAGCCAGGCCCACCCTGCCCCAGGACCTCTCTGGGCTCCTTTAAGGCTGGTCCCACTCTGAGGCCACTCCCCACCCTTGAGGAGGAAGATGCTGGGTGAGACTGAGCCCCTCGTCCCTCCTCGCTCGCCCGCCCGTGGGTCCTAACCTTTCCAAGCGCCCCACGTCCCCAGGGTCCCCCAGGCCACTCAGGCTGCCTGTGGGGACTGCTCCCCATCCCCGGGTGTGGCGAGACAGAGCGACCCTCCCGGCACCTGACACCAGCCATGTGGTCGGGGCAGAAATTCAGAAAGTTCCACACTGGAGACAAGAAACACTCTAAAAAGGGGGTCTCACCGAGGTCATGGGGCGAGCCGGCAGCAGAGCCTAGGTTCAGAACCAAGCCTGGTACCAAAGTGGCTTCCTCAAGAGCTGGTCCAGGGACCCCACCCCAATCATGCTGTCCCCACCCCTGCCACAGGCCAGAATCTCCTCCCTGGGCCCCACCACACCTGACACACTCACAAAATAGATCAAACAGTAGTGGGGCACCCCTGCGTGGCGCCCGGCGTGCCCGTGGAAGCCACAGGGCACCCGCCTCAGGCCCCTCGATCTTTGTTGCATCTGTTTCTGAGTCTGTCTTGTTCAGCAGCGGGCGGGCAGCGCCGCTGGTCGGCACCACCCGCGAAACCTGAGCATCTGTGCCAAAGCAACGCAGCCCCTGGCCGGGTGGGAACCGCAGTGGGGCCCCCGGCGGCCCTGGGGTCGGGCGTCTCTCGGCTGCGCTGGCCCCTTTGGAACGGGGTGGTGGGTGGACGGAGGGGATGGAGGGTGGGGGCAGGGTGCCCAGGCACACGACGCCCCATCCTTGGGAGCCTGTCACGTCCAGAGTTCTGGGCCCCGGCCCCCCACGTGTGGACCGTGAGGAGCCTGGGAAGTCCCCGCCGTCTGTCTGTCCGCCTGTCTTTTGTCTGCCTGCCTGTCGGTCATGCTGATGGCGGTCTGCAGCCTTGGGGCCGGGCCTGGGCTGCCTCCGCCATGCTGACGGTGACCCCCGCCCCGCCCCCCTCCCCGCCTCTGCTCCTCCCCCTGTTCCAGCTGCCCTTGGACTTCCAGCAGCGCGTGAGTCTGCACATGGAGAAGCACGGCTGCAGCCTGCCGTCCCCGCGCTGCCACCCGGCCTACGCCGACAGCGTCCCGACCTGCGTCATTGCCAAGGTGCTGGAGAAGCCCGACCCCACCAGCCTGTCGTCGCGCCTGTCGGATGCCTCGGCCCGCGACCTGGCCTTCCGCGACGGGGTGGAGAAGCCAGGCCCGCGGCCCCCCTACAAGGGGGACATCTACTGCAGCGACACGGCCCTCTACTGCCCCGACGAGCGGCGGCGGGACCGGAGGCCCAGCGTGGACGCATCCGTGACCGACGTGGGATTCCTGCGGGCCCAGAACTCCACCGACACCGCCGAGGAGGAGGAGGAGGCCGAGGCCGCGGCCTTCCCCGTGGGCTACCGCCACGAAGCCTTCCCGGGCTACGCGGGCTCGCTGCCCACGTCCAGCTCGTACTCGAGCTTCAGCGCCACGTCGGAGGAGAAGGAGCACGCGCAGGCCAGCACGCTGACCGCCTCGCAGCAGGCCATCTACCTGAACAGCCGCGACGAGCTCTTCAACCGCAAGCCCCCGGCCGCCGCCACCTACAACGGCGGCGGCCCGCGCTTCGCCAAGGCCGCCGCCGCCCCGCGCGAGGCCGAGGTGACCCCCGGCTTCGGACGGACTGTGTCTCCGTACCCGGCCGAGCCCTTCCGCTTCCCGGCCTCCCCGGGGCCCCAGCAGGCGCTGATGCCACCAAACCTGTGGAGCCTGCGAGCCAAGCCGGGCAGCACGCGGCTGGCCAGCGAGGACCTCCGGGGCCAGTGGCGGCCCCTGAGCGTGGAGGACATCGGGGCCTACTCGTTCCCGGGAGGCACCGCCAGCCGCGCCTCTCCCTGCAGCTTCTCCGAACGCTACTACGGCGGCAGCATGGGCAGCCCGGGCAAGAAGGCCGAAGGTCGCGCCAGCCCCCTCTACGCCACCTACAAGGCCGAGAGCTTCTCCGAGGGCGACGACCTGTCCCAGGGCCACCTGGCCGAGCCCTGCTTCCTGCGCAGCCTCAGCCCCAGCCGCTCGGCCGACCCGCTCCCCGGCTACGCGCCCAGCGACGGCGATGGGGACCGGCTCGGGGTGCAGCTGTGCGGGGCCGGCAGCAGCCCTGAGCCCGAGCCGGGCTCCAGGGACTCCCTGGGGCCCAGCTCCATGGAGGCCTCGCCCGAGATGCACCCTGCCGCCCGCCTCAGCCCCCAGCAGGCCTTCCCTCGGACTGGAGGCGCGGGGCTGAGCCGCAAGGACAGCCTGACCAAGGCCCAGCTCTACGGAACCTTGCTCAACTGAACGCCCCACGCAGGCCACGGCCACGGGCCCTCCTCCCCACTCCCGCTCCGGCCACGTGGCACCTACAAGGGTGCAGTTCCCTTTCCCCCAAGACACCCCGCTCCCTGAGCCCCTTGTCCAGGAGGAGGCACTCCTGCCCAACCCCTCCCCGCCTCCCAGCCCGGTAGAACCCCCGAGGACAACCTGCTGTATTGTCGACGTGTCCAGCCCCGGCTACCACCACGGACCCCCGCTTAGGTGTTTTCACATCCCCACACCCTCCCACCCGAGGTGAGCGCCCCCCCCTTTTATAAAGCGATACTATTTTTCTAAGAGAAAAGGGTCTTTCTTAACGCCCCCGGCCTCCAGCTTCTGGATGGCTGCCTTGGCGTTTCCAACGTGAAGCTCCTGCATCTCTTCAGTGAAGGTGCTGGGGGCTTGCCCGGGGCGAAGGCGAGCGTGTCCCAGGAAGCCCGGCCTCCGCCAGCGGCGAGGCCGCAAGGCAGTGGCAAGGGAAGCCCAAAATTCTGACCAGTGAGAGGGGAACGGAAACCAGTGAGGGCACAGGAAATGTTGTCAAAATCCAACTTCCCACAGTGCGGCCAGCACAGTACCCCCCCCTCCACCCCGAGCTCCTTCACGGCCCGCAGTCCCGAGTGGGGCCGGGACAAGGTCCCAGTACGGCCCGGTGCTCGCTCCGCCCCGCCCCCCCCCGCTCCCCACACCACCTCGGTCTACCTCAGACGTATGAGGCCCCCGCCCCACCCCGGCACTCCCTCGTCTGTGATGCATGCTGTCCCGTTAGTATTGTATTTTGCATTCATTAATAAAAGCCAGCAGTGGAAAGCAACCAGGTGTGGCTGTTTGTTGATCGGGCCCCTGGTCCCTCCACAATGTCTTCCCGGACCTTGCTCTCCACCACGATGGGCTCACAGCTCCCCGCCGCCCTGCACCGGGGCCCTTTGGGTTGTCCTGTGAACTCATCCCTCCCTTGCTTGCTATCTTGGTTTACCCAAAGTATTTTTTTGATGTTGGTGGTGGTGGTCATGGGGCTTAAACTCGGCCTTAGCGCTGTCACTGAGCTCTTCAGCCCAAGGCGAGTGCTCTACCACTTGAGCCACAGTGCTGCTTCTGGTTTTTCGGTGGGTAATTGGAGATAAGAGTCTCAAAGCCCAGGCAGGCTTTGAACCGAGATCCTCAGATCTCAGCTTCCTGAGTAGCTAGGATTACAGGCGTGAGCCACCAGCGCCCCATTCAAAGTACACTCTTTAGAATTTCCTTTAGTGTAGCCTGCTGGTGGCTGAGATTGCAATTCATTATGTAGCCTGGGCTGACCTTGAACTCATGATTTCCCTCACCTCAGTGCTGAGATTACAATACAAGTGCACACCACCATGCCTAGCTAAGCTCTGTTCTTATTGTCCTGAAAAGTCTTTATTCTGCTGGGGATAGAAAGCATCCTGCTTTGTGTATATGTAAGTTCCATATCATAGGGAAATTGTAGAAAACCAAAAGTCAGAGACAGAAGAAAAATACAAGATTACCAGGAAGGGGGGAGCTCCAGGCTAAGCACGGCCCATATACATAACCCTTTCTGGTCCATATAACTCTTCCTGGTTATTGTCTTTTTCTTCTGTCTCTGACTTTTGGTTTTCTACAATTTCCCTAAGGCACACCTGCGTGAGATTCCTTGCTAGCTTTCACAGGGACTCTATGTATCTGTGGATTGATGTGTTCTTTTATTCAGTTCTGGAAAATCCTTGACATTTTTTTGGGGGGGACAGAAGGGGTTCCTCAGGGTCTGGGTACTATCTGTGGGCATATTTGCTCAAGACTGGTGCTCTGCCACTTGAGCCACAGCTCCACTTCCAGCTTTTCGTTGGTTAATTGGAGACTTTTCTGCCCAAGTGGTCTTTGAGCTGTGATCCTCAGATCACAGCCTCCTAAGTAGCTAGATTACAGTAGTGAGCCAGCAGCATCTGGCAGACGTTTTTCTTTTCTTTTTCTTTTTGTTGGTCGTGGGGCTTGAACTCTGGACCTGGGCTGTCCCTGAGCTCTTCAGCTTAAGGCAAACACTCTACCACTTGAGCCACAGCACCACTTCCAGTTTATTGGTGGTTTATTGGAGATAAGGGTCTCATGGACTTTCCTATAACAGGCTGGCTTTGAACCTTGGTCCTCAGATCTCAGTCTTCTGATTGAGATTACAGGCATGAGCCTTTTAAAAAGTATTTTCCAGCATTCTCTTTCTGCTCTGCCTGTGGAACTGTGGCAGACCCTCTACTGTCATCTTTCCGCCGCTCTCTCCTGAATTTCCCTGATTTTGTCTCACGCCACTGCAGTCAGCATGACTCCTCGCCGTGTTCACTCAGCCACTGGGTTTGTTTTCATTTCAGTGGTGAACGGCTTTCACTCCAGCAGTTCTGTTTGTTTAGTTTTACAGATGCACTGTGGGCCTGCGTCTTCCTATTCCCTGGAGCTTCTTTAAAGCTCATCCCTTGTTTTTGTAAAGCTCGCAGCGTAGCCAGCTCCCAGGCTGGGTCTGGCCCGGCCGCCGTGTGGTGTCTGAGTCAGCCAGCGTCTGCTTCCGCCCTTGCTGCCATGATCAGCCCAGGGGTCTGGCCGGCCCTTGTGCCTGCAGAGCTCTGCAAGGTGTGGCGAAGGCCTCCTGTCAAGAGACATTACACCTGCTTTCTTTGGGCACCTGGGGGCCCTTCCCATTGAGGGCCACTCACCCCAAGCCCATCGCCTGGCTTTAAAGCTAGCCCCAGATGGGCCCTGAAGTTCCGGCTCTGGAGCACCTAAAGCTTTCAGACCCTACGCCAGCTAGGTGCTCCTCAGCTGGTTGCCTGGTGCTCCACTTTCCCTGACTTCAACTCCATGGACCCCAGGACTCACATACACACATGCCACTGGTCCACAGCTCTGCCCTGGGTTGGGGCTTGGTGTTTCCCTCCTGACCTCTTGCTAGATCCAGCTGTGACCCTCTGCTGGCCTCTGGGGCACCCGGCTCTCCCCACTAGGAGCCCCAAGGTGGGGGAGGGAGGGGACACTGGGCTCAGGGCATCCAAATAGGGAGAGTCCACACCACTCCAGGCCAAAGAACGGAGAGGGTCAGGAGAGGCTCATGGTGAACATTGAAGGATGAATAGGCAAAGGGAAACACTCGTAGAAAGGCAGGCACATGTGGCACTGGGGAATTCCCAGCTGTCCCGTGCTCCCGCGTGTCTCCCCCGCAGGCTCAGCCGCCAGCAGGGTCCCTGGAGTGTCGCCACAGCCAGGCTGTTCCTGCTGGCGCTCCCGTACGCGGTGGGGCTGGGAAGGCAGTGGTGTTCCCTCCGCCGCCGCCATGCCCTCTCCCTCCACTCCCTCCCACTTCATCTTCAGCGAGGCCCTGTCTGTGCATCCACGCGTGTTCCCCTCGCTCTCCACGGGGGCAGTGCCCGGCTGGGCAGGGGATGCAGGCTTTGCAGGCAGGCGGCCCTGGGTGCCGGCTCCGGGGTGGCAGCCTCTCCGGGCGGGGCCGTGTGTGGCACAGGCAGAGGAAGCCGCGTTTCTCCACCGCAGCTCGTGATCTGGCAGGCAGGATGGGGGCGCACCTGGGCCCAGGCTGTGGCGGGGGGGGGGGGGAGGGAGGACCCCGTGCTCCCTGTTCACTCCTGCTCAACACTAAATTTAGCTCTCTGCTTTTTAAATTGCAAATGATGAACTCTGGATACCTTGCCAGGTGTCAAAGTCACTGCGCGTGGAGGCTCTCTGGAAGAAAGCATTTGGAAAAGGACATGGCCAACGCAGAGCCCCTGCCTTTCCCCCCTGGAAGCCAGCTCTGACGGGGAGGGGTCAGCGGCAGGTCCGTTGGGGCCCATGTCAAGAAATCAAGTCCCTAGGGAGGTAGCAGTAGGACATCCACAGCTGCTCCCCAGGGGCCCTGCACACCCCCTCCCTGCAAGTCACAGCTGCAGGTCAGATGAACTGGACTACCAAGTTCTTCCCCCATGTGTCCCACTTCACAGAGGGGTAAGCTGAGGCTCAGAGGTGCCAAGTCCCACGCTACTAGGGCATGCCCTGGGATCTGAGCTGGTCTCAGGGCTCCAAATGCCCCAGGATCATAGGCCACAGGCTTTGTGTAGGTTTGAGAGGCTGGACAGCCAGGGAGGAAGGAGAGGCCGGAGAGGAGAGGCTGTCCCAGACCTCCCTGTGTGTGGGGAGCAGTCAGATGGGTGATGGGGAGAGGGCTAATGCAGGGGGCAGCAGAGCCATGAGGCGGGGCGGGCAAGACCAAAAGGAAGCAGGCTTCCCGCTCTGCTCCTCACTCAACACACCTGAGTGGACGCCCTCCAACACTCCAGCCCCATGCCCCAGCTAAGAAACATCTTCCCCCACCAAGGCCTCCAAAGGTCATGTTCTCCCCACCAGCTGTCCAAGGGACCCTGGATTTTTGGGATGGCCCCTCAACTACAGTGGCACTGGCCAGCTGAGGCCCTGGGAGCTGAGCGTTCTCCCAGGGAAGGAGGGAGGGTCTTCAGGGACCCTGCTTCTCCTCTGCAGGACAGATGCACGGCCTGTTCAGTGTGGACACTGGCCTGCAGCACTGGGAAAGCAGCAGCTAGGGGCCTGGGGCGTGGATGGAGCGGGGAGCTAACTGGCCACAGTGCCTGGTAGAGAGAAGGGCCACGGAGCTATGGGCTTGCAAAACCCCAGCACAGAGCTCCCGGGGGCAGACCCCAGACCCAGGCCCCCATGTGAGAGAGCACCCTCGGGAGCCCCAGAGCGGCGGTGCCACCGCAAGTCCCACCCGTGCTGTCTCCAGAGCCCCAGCGGCGGCGGAGCCGGGGATGCCAGCCACACACATGCGCTGCCCAAACCTCCTCAGAAGCAGCAGGACACACATTTATTGGGCATCACCAGGCATCTGACACTTTCTTCATACAGCACTCACACCCAGACAGCTTCTTGCCCCCTCTGCACAGATGAAGAAACTGAGGCCCGGCAGACGGTGGAAATGGTATACCCCAATCCCCGCCTCCTCCCGAGGAACAAAGGGAGCCCCAGGCACGGGCGTCACTGCCAGATCTTGATGTCGCCTCCCCAGGAGCAGGTGGCCAGGACAGAGGGCAGCACGGGGTGGTAGGTGGTGCCGAGGCAGGCCTGTGGGTGTCCCTGCAGCGTGCAGGCCCGGCGGGCGGTGCGGAAGCTGAACATCAGGACGCGGCCATCGGCGCTGCCTGTCACCAGCAGCTCTCCACACGGGGAGCACTCGCAGCCCACGGCGTAGCCTTCCACCTGCAGAGAGCGACACAGCCATGACGCCTCCCTGCCCGAGGGCGCTGCGGGGCAGGCTGCGGGGCACTAGCGGGCAGGGGGCAGAGAGGGGCTTCAAGGTCCAGCAACTTTAAGGCCAAAGCTTCTCCCAGGGGGCCACGAACATGGCTGGACTAGCGGGGAACCTGGCCTCAGTGACAAATGCTGAACCCCCCCCCCACCAACCCCAGGAGGAAAAACAGGCCTTGCACAGGAAGGGCCTCCCCGGTGGGCCTCATGCCCATCCCCCGTGTGAGCCACCTCCCATCTCCCTGTCCACAGCCTTGAGTGGACCTCAGCCCACGTGGCACAGTCACCTGGAAAAGGAAGTAGAATCCACCCATGTGGAGGGGAGGGGGTCCATGCACCCTGGGATTCTGCATCCATTCATGACGCCACCCAGCAAAAGGCACTGGGGCTCAGGCAGTGCTCAGCTGGGGCTCAGGCAGTGCTCAGCTGGGGCTCAGGCAGTGCTCAGCTGGGGCTCAGGCAGTGCTCAGCTGGGGCGGGGGGGGGGGAAGGGTGGGGTTACCTTGTGCCCTTCGTAGCGCCGCCGCCTGCTCATCCGGTAGGGCCACACGGCTGAGAAGAGGGCCAGGTAGTTGCCATTGGTCTGTGCCAGGAATACAGGCTCCCTGGGGTGCAAGGCGAGGCTGGGGCACGTGTACCTCTCCTAAGAAAAAACAGGGCCACAGGATGAAAGGAGGCCTCAGGTTGAGAGGAGGCAGCTGGAGTCTCCTGGCTCCAGAGAGCCAGCCCACAGGCTGTGCTTGGGACCCGGGGCCCAGCCCCTCTCTCCCCAGCCATGGTGGGGGTCTGAATGAGGTCCCTCTTGCTGCACCAACTCAGTGACCTGGAGGAACACAGATATGCTGTGCATGTGCCAACGGCAGCCCGACATGGAAGTCACTGGGCTAGAGCCGAGGCTGGGCGGTGACGCTCCTGCAGGCTGCGCCGTCTCCAGAAGCTGGGAAGCGAACCCCCAGACGCGCTCACGTCCTGGGTCCTGAGGCCTGTGACTGCAAACCAAGAGCCTTAGCAGATACGAGCAGGTGAAGGGGGACGTTACCCTCGGCCACTGTCCTGCATGCCATCGTGCGCCCCTAAAGAGGGAGGCGGGAAAGCTTCTCTCCCGGAGGGGCTCCGGAGGAAGTGGCCCTGCCACCCTGGTTTCAACCCAAGAATACATCCTGTTAGTACAGATGTCTGGCCTCCAACCTGGGAGAAGAAATTTGGGCTATTTCAAGCTACCAAGTTTGTGGTCATGTTTCCCAGTGAAATAGAAAAAAAGACACTCATCTCTCTACCTCCCCAGGAAGCTGAGGCGGCTGGTGAACAGCCAAACAGAAGATAAAGACAGAGCACACTATTCAAAGCGTAAGGGAGTGTGCATGGGAGGGCAAAACTGAGAGAGAGCGAGGAAGGGGTGACATGTGCTCTTCACCCCACTTCCCTACCTGTAGCCCCGCTGCACAAAACCATTTAAAAAACCATAAGGGGGGCAGTTGCTCATACAGAAAACACCCTGCAAACCTCCCCTCTCCTGGAGTCTGGCTTGGCCTAAATATTATCCATGAGTGGCCAAAGCGGCCTGTGCTAGACCACATGGGCTAGATGATGAGTCCACTCCCTAGCATGACCTCACAGCTCAGTCACTGACTTAGGAGGCATGGGTACACCTCCCCTCCGCCCCCCCGGCCCCCTCCCCTTGCCTGCCTCCCGAGCTTGGTCACAGGCCTTGGTGTTCAGGAGGCTCTTCGTGACCAGATGTGCCCTCTGGCCCCACCCAGTGAGGGATTGCACTGGAAAACCCTGCTGTGAAGTCTAGAGGTGACTTTGCTCAGGTTCACTCCGAGAACAAAAGGCAGGGTGGAGGAGGCACACAGCTGTACATGATAAGTATGTTAAGATTCAGGGTAGAGGCACCAGAGATTAGTCATGGCTTATTTGAAAGCTCCACAGAAGATGATAGTGCTGTTTTGGCAGCACACACACTAAAACTGGAATAATGAGGAGAAGATTAGCATGACCCCTGAGCAAGGATAACAGAAATTCATGACGAGTGGCATAAAAAAAAAAGGTGGTGGTAGCGGTGGTGGTCCATGGTGGTGATGACCGCAGCAGTGATTGTGATGAGGATGATGAGGATGACGATGACCGCAGTGGTGACGGTAACAATGATGGTGGTAGTAATAGAAATAGTGATAATGGTGATGGTGGTAGAGATGGTGGTGATGGCGGTGGTACCAGAGATGGTGGTGGCGACAATGGCAGTAATTATGATGGTATAGGAAGGTGGTGGTGGTAATCATGATGGTGGTAAGTGACAGAGATGGTGATGCTGGTGATGGTGGTGGTGGTGATGGTGGTATTAATGGAGAGGGTGGTGGTGATGATGGTGGCAGTGCTGATGGTGATGGTAATCATGACAGTGGAGGTGACAGAAATGGTGATGTTGGTGGTGGTGAATCATGATGGTGGTGACAGTGGTGTTAATGGAGATGATGATGGTGATGATGACGTCAGTACTAATGGTGGTGATGGTAATCGTGATGGCGGTGGTGATAGAAATGGTGATGCTGGTGGTGTAGTGGTGATGGTGGTAGTGACAGAGGTTGGTGAGGGTGATAATGGTGGTAGATATGATGATGGTAATGATGGCAGTTTTGGTAAGGACAGGTAAAGGATGATAGAGCACTCTGTCCCTGGCAGTATAATATGCCCTTTATGAGAATTCTCTCTTTTAATTCTTGAAACTACTCCATAAAAAGTCATAATCTCCTCAGTTTTCTAATGAGGAACGTGAAAGTCAAGGAGGATAACTTACGGCAAGTCCCAGCTCTGAACTCCTGTGAGGCCTGGCAGGGCTACCGCGGAGGTGTAGGCCAGGCCTTGGCCAGGCCTGGCTGCTGAGGGCAGGGGCAGGGGCCAGAGGCCATCTCCCCCTCTCGGGGGGCTGTCCCCGCCTACAGGTGGCAGGCCCTGACCTTCACCTTCCCCCCGCCTAGAGACTCCAGGCCCTGCAACCCCAGCCTGAGGACGGGGCCCGGCACCCCACGGGGAGCAGGACTGCGGCAATGTGCCTGAGACTGAAATCAGGGCCCACCCCGCACAGGCCCGCTCACATGGAAAATCTGGTTGGAGATTTTGGCAGAGGTCCTGAAGTCCCAGGCAATGATGGTGCGGTCGGCGGAGTCCCGGGTGGAGGCATCCGTGCTGCTCAGGAACTCAGAGCCTTCCTGGAGGAAGAGGATGTCCAGGGTCTGCTGGATGGTCGCCTTGTAGCTTCTCACCACCTGCAGGAGTAGGCACAGGTCACACCGGCGGGGCCTGGAAGCACAGTGCTGGTGCCCACCCAGCGGGGAGGCCAGGGGATGGACAGACTTACTGAAGGCCAGTCTGGTCCATGCCCCACCCACATGTGGGGTCACAAGACGCCCCCCCCCCAGCTCCCTAGCAGACCAACATCTGTCTTTCTTGGGAGATGCTGTGATGGAAGCCTGGCCCGGTGGCCATTCCCAGCACCCCTGCTGGAAGCTGGGAAGGTCCACCTCCCAGGCAGACAGGGGACCCTTGGAGGTAGCTGGAACCCCATGAAAGTGCGTGGGGGAAGGGCTGGAGCCTTGCTCCTGGGCTGAGGAATGCAGTGGCGGCCAGCAAGCACAGTGTCCTATTTTGTGAGAGTCTGCGGGTGCGAGATCCTGAGTGACAGTCCCCGGGGGAGTGACCACCACACAGGGCGCCAGCATTCTTGGAGACGGATATAAAGCCGAATCAACGGGATGCACTTCCGCTTCGGAGGCACGTTTCCTCAGTGGTATCCCACAGCCTCCAGCCTCCCAAACTACACTGTGGCCACAGGCACGCCACGCCTTTCCAGAGCTGCTCATGGCACCTGCTCCTCAGCCAACACGCCTGGGGCAGCGGGGCGTGGCGGGGGGGGGGGCCAGGACTCCCAGCAGCGGTGGCCAAACTCCCAGATGGCATGACGGTGTACTACAGTGCTGAAATGCCAGGCCCGAGTGCCCGCCATTGTGACGGAAGCAGCGCAATGCGGGGGGGGGGGTGCGGACCTGGCCGCGGTCACCAGCCGCCAGGGTGCCACCGCGGGGCTGCAGCACACACAGCTCTTGGTCCCTTGGCCCTGCCTGCCATGAAATGAGTTCATGCCTTTCAAGATGTTCAGCGAATGCATTCCATTGTCCTCCTTCAAATGTGTGTGCCCAGTTCACATTCCAGTAGCAGCCCCGTAAGCCCCGCTTGCACTGGGAGGGAGGTATTAAGACTCACTCTCCAGGCCAGGCCGATTCCTGCCTCTCCTAGTTCCTGGCAGCACATTTCTAGACATAGGTAAGCAACACATGCTGCTCTTCTGTGACACAATCACAAGCAGACTGGTGAGAACCGCTCTGCCTGTGCCAGGCAGCTCCTAGCTCCTTGGCAGAACTGCCAGCTTCCACACGGTCTTAGTTGAACACCACAGCCCTAGTGAAGGCCCCTCATCCCCTCATCCCACAGGGCTGATGCATGAAGGGGGGTGCAGGTGGGAGGGCCCTTCCTGCTGCTCAGAGTTAGGACCACTTCTCCCAGAGGCCACGTGCCTCTCGGCCATCAGCCGTCCCCAGCCGAACTTCCAGCGTGCCCGCCAGTGCTGCCACCTGCCGCCCGAACATATGGAGGAGAACGAAAGGCGGTGTCCTGACCATTTTCTCAGAATGCCTGGGAATGGCTCCACTCATGGGGGCATCATAAAGGTGACCGTTCAGGATGCCAGCTGGGTTAGGGATGCCCCCTGCCTGTGAAACCCGCTGCTAGAGGAGGGTGGGGCAGCGGAGTGCTCACTGGCACGTGACCGATGTGCCTTCGAGCTGCCCGAGGACACACAACCCATCTGTGTGTCTAGAGCAGGCTTTGCAGCGTCTTCATGACACAGGCAGCCGGTGTACCCCATCCCAGGACATGGCCACTGTCCACAGCCTGGTTGGCCAGACCAAAAGGGGAGCCTAGTTCAGGGGCAGTCGTGCCCTCCATGTTGGGTAAGTGGGCAGCTGGCCTTGGGGAAAGTCGAAGATGAACCACACCCTACCCAGGTGATGGAAGCCACTTGAGCGCCGTAAGGCGGCATGCTAGAGAGCCTGGCCACTGCGGACCCAACTGCCTCTCCCAGAATTCTGAGAGACGAGCAGTCTGTGCCCACAGACAGCTATGCAGCAGGAGTGTAACCTCACACAGCTCACAGGGGGCAGCCACCTGGCACCAAGTGCACCCTGTTGATACATTACCAAAAAAAAATTATACTGGCAAAGGAAAAAACGATATAAACATGAGAGGACAACACAGCTGACTTTCTCTGAAACATGGGGCTTGGTTTTCCCTGCTATGACTCCAAAGTAAGAAACAATAAGATCTAATACACAGACAACTTCTCAAAGTAGATGAACAAGACCACAACTCTATGGGGGAAAAAATGTGTGAGATTTCCAGGCATAATCCCAGCTACTCTTGGAGGAAGTGGTCAGAAGGATTATACTTCAGCTAAGGCAAAAATGTATCAAGATCCCATTGCAACAAACAAGCTAGGCATGGTGGTCCATGTCTGTAATCCCAGCTCCTAGTAGGTATAGGGAGGAGGATCAGGATGTGAGGGCGATCTGGCTGCGACATCTGTCACCCCACTGATCGCCAGGGTTGATTCGGCTGATGTGGCTGGCTAGGCGGGTGTCCCCTTCCTCCCTCACCGCTCCATGTGCGTCCCTCCCGAAGCTGCGCGCTCGGTCGAAGAGGACGACCATCCCCGATAGAGGAGGACCGGTCTTCGGTCAAGGGTATACGAGTAGCTGCGCTCCCCTGCTAGAACCTCCAAACAAGCTCTCAAGGAAGGAGGATCATGGCACAAAGTCAGCCCCTGGGCAAAAATTAAAGCAAAAGAGGGCTAGGGGCATGGCATAAATAGTAGAGTACCTCCTAACAAGCATAAGGCCCTGAGTTTAGACTACAGTAATGAAAAATGGGGGTGACGGAGGGACAAGGCAGTAAGAGAATACGGCCCTCTCACCGCATTCAGACCCAAGGGCAGCACAAACTAATCCACACAGGATGCCACTCTCACCAAGCAAGTCAGTGAGATCCCACATCCAACAGCAACCCCCACCTGGGGAACCCACGGAGTGGCGGGGGGGGCCTCTGGGCAGCTAATTACAGCTGCCAGAAACATACGCAGCACAAGAGCTGAGCTGTTTGCAGCAAACTGCAGAGGAGCTGTTACTCAGCTGCACATGCATGCCACGCAGCACCTTTTTTCTTCTCTCTGTCTCTTTCTTTGTCTGTCTCTGTCCCTTTCTCTTTGATAGTGGTATTGGGGTTTGAACTGGGCATTTTTGAGGTAGGGCCTTGCTTTGTGTGTGTTTGTGAGATCAGGACTGGCCTGGACTGTAATCCTCCTATTTATGCTTCTCATCACAGCTGGAATAACAGGCATGTACCACCACACCTAGTTTTTTCTGTTGAGATGGGGGGTGTCTCATGATCTTTTCTGCCTCTGCTGGCCCCAAACCACAAGACTCACGCTGCAGCCTGCTGAGTATCTAATATTACAGGGTTGAGCCCCAGGTGCTCAGCATCCAGCACTCACTTCTAAGAACAGATCCTAAGGCTACCCCAGCACTACCCCAGCATGATGCCAGTGCCAATGCCAAGGACAGCAGCAGTTCTTGTGAAAACGGAGACCTGCAAAGAAGCCGGCGTCATCAGGCAAAGCCTGTGGGCACTCTGTAAGAATCATTTCCACACTCTGGAACAGAAGGGGCTGCAGCAAAGACTGTCCCTTCTGCCTGCCCTGCCTGAGCCAGGGCCGGGACCAGATGCTCAGCTGAAGAAGGAGGTGAGAGGTGACAGGAACAGGAAGAGAAGCCAAACACAAAAGCAAGTAAGGGGGAGCCTGCTCTAGAGGAAAGGAGAGAACAGAAAGGGGAACACTGGCTTACAGACCCAACTCCATTTCTCTAACCACATCTTGTTTTGCAGATTTGACTCAGGAGCTGACTATGTACCATGATCCTCCTCCCTATACCTACTAGGAGCTGGGATTACAGACATGGACCACCATGCCTAGCTTGTCTGTTGCAATGGGATCTTGTTACATTTTTGCCTTAGCTGAAGTATAATCCTCCTGACCACTTCCTCCAAGAGTAGCTGGGATTATGCCAGGTGCCAGTGGCTCCTACTTGGAATCCCAGCTGCTCAGGAGGCTGAGGAGTGGAGGTACTCGGCTCAAAGCTGGCCTGTGCAGAATAGTCTGCCAGACTTCATCTCCAAAATAACAAGCAAAGCACGGGGCTGGAAGCATGGTTCAAGTGGTAGAATGCTAGCTGAGTGAGCAAGCAGGGCAAGCTCAATCAGTGAAGGCCCTGAGTTCAAATCCAACTATAAGAAACAAAGAAAGAAAAAACAGGGTAACAGTTTTTTTTTCTCTGTACAAGGGAAGACAGCAAATAATTTTGGGTCCTGAGGAGTCACTTGTTCTTGTTGTTGTTTTTGAGTCTGTGTTACAGCGGTCAAATAGCTAAAAGCCAATCTTAGCTCAATGGCCTAAGAAAAATAGGCCACAAGCCACAGTGAGCCAATGAATTGTTTTGCCAACTCTTTCTCTAGACTCATGTACATATTTTGTTAAATTATGCAGCAAAATTAACTTAAGAAGCAATTTTTAAAATGTGAAAGCAAATTAAGCAGATGCAATTAACCAAGTATTGATTTGGTACTTTTAACCACACAAACAGGATTTCTTTTAGGAGACTTTAAAGTATAGTAATTGAATCACTGATCGTCGGCTAAATATGCATTATTAATAGAAAACCAGCAACTTAACTGAGGAGCCTAACTTCATGAGCTGCAAGACCAATTCTAGTCATTCATAGCCAATGCACAATATATACACACACCTAAACTGTGTCAAGGAAAATAGAAAGCTTTTCAGTGACAAAGATTAAAAACATGCAAAGGAATAAAAAAAATTCCACCATATTCCATTTGAATCAGAAAAATCAGTATAAACAACATCATCTTAACAAAAAAGCAAGTATTGCCTAGCCTTGGAGCCTGCGTTCAAGCCCCAGGAACAGCATAAATAAATAGACAGACAGACAGATGATGGATAGATTTTGCACAGGGCTAAGTGTCAAAAGGAGCCTCAAGGTAGTACGTGGGACATTAGTAGACTACCATTAGCAATAATGTGAAATCAGCTCTAGAAAAACAGCTTCCCCCAAACAAAACTTAAAAGCAAGCCTCAAAAGAA